GTTTGCTCGAGGCATGTTGTATAGATTGTCCGCTGGATAGTCGCTCGTATCGAAGCGAGCGATATCGCGCTTCATATCCTCGTACACATCCTCGCACTTTATGTGGTATATCAAACTGTCGGTATCGGTGTAGAGGATCTTGCAATCATAACCGTACAACGGTGCCATGTAGTCGTAATGGAATTCGTATAGACAGGTCTTCGATATGTCGAGTATGCACATACCGAAGTACAACGATTTGTTAAACAAAACTTCCAGGCGACGCAGTTCTATGGCCACCAAATCTTCAGCAAACACGCTGTGGCTGTGGAAGTTTGGTTTTGCAATGAGCGCTTCTGCACCGTATCGTCCTTTCCATTTTGTAACAATTCGTACGTCGGTGTACTTGCGCACGTTCTCCATTGTCTTGCCGAACACCGCGTTGTTCATAAGTTTGTAAAGATTCTTTGCAAACTCATTGGCGGCGTTCGCGCGAAATCGAGTATTGAGCTCGATGTATCCGCGCAGCCAAGGCGATTGCGAGAACCGCAGCACTCGATGTATTCGCGTTAAGCGAAGCCCGTGTCTCAGACACTGCTGTAGGTTGAGGTAGTGAATCACGTATCGCTTCTTGTTGAACACTGTGGCGAGCAGTTTGACGTGATTCTTTCCATGTTTACCAGGCGGCTCCTCGCGCGTTGGACAAAAGGGTAGATCTCTGTGCGCGTCGTGCAGTTCTTTCGGATACGTCAGATCGACCTCGAGTATGTAGCCGATGTCGCTGTCCGCCGCTACCGTTGTCACGTCGAACTCGTACGCGTTCTCCACCCACGCAAAGTTACCATATGGAAGCGGTTGACACATCGCCCATCCGTAGAGATTGTTGACGTCGTAGTACATCAGATACGACGACGGTTCGGATGGATCGTGCGAACACGCGTACCTGTTGTTCGCGCGGGCGTATCTGTTCGAACATTGACTCAGACCGCCGCGTATACCACGTTCCACGAACATCACCATGTTGATGTCAGTCAGCAGCTCGAACGTCACACGAGTGTACTTCAACATGGTGTCCCATGTATATCTCGGCAGCGTGTAGTAGTGCGCGGGATCCAGTCCGTAACTCGCGAGGCACTCGCGACGAAAGTTTTCGAATACATCAGCCAGCAAAAGTACGTCCGTCTTCAGATACAAGTCGCTGTACGATCCCAGATTTTCGATGTTGAATCGTTGCCATACATTCGTTGCGTGTGCGTACTCGTTCTCCGTCACAGTCTCGCCGGTCAGCGAACTGTAAAACGCCTCGCGCGGCGACAAATTTGTTTCCAACAATTTGTCGACGCTGTCCACATATTCATATGGAAACACACCTTTTCACGTGAGCAGTTCAAAGTCCTCGGTGGAAAGATCTCCGAATTCCGTTTGAGTCACTCGCAGTTCGCTCTTGTCGAGATAGGACGCGAGCTTTTCTAAGCTTGTGCTCAGAAATTTGTACGAATCGATGAATCGCAGTTGCACGCACTTCTGATTGTCCTCATCTCGAGTACTGCTCACATGTTTTGTGAACGATATGTAGGTCTCTTTTGTCACGGGCAGCACGTTGATCTCGCCCTCGAAAGCGGTGGCCACATCCTTGATAATAAAATGCGCGTCGTATCCCGACAAGTTGTGGAACACAACGGGAACAACGTAGACCTGTTTG